CAGTTCCCAGACATGTGGGTCTAGCACAGTGTGGTGTTCAGCTGGGGACAGTTCTGTCCCCAGGAGACATGTGGCAATGTTTGGGAACCTTTAGGGACTCGAAAAAGGGACCTGGGTTTAGACTACGGACTCTGCTCAATGTCCTGCAGGGCCTAGAACACCCCACATCAGAGTGTCATCCAGCCCCAGGTGTCAACAGTGTGAGGTTGAGAGACCTGCCTTAGCACGGGAGAGCTTGTCTGTCTCTCTACGTATCTAGCCTATTATCTATTTATCTAGCCATCATCTTTTTATCGATCCAACATCTATCTGTATCATCTATTTATCACCTACCTATCAATCATTTATCTACTATCTATCTATCATCTGTCATTTACATATCTATCTATTATCTATCTATCATCTATCTATTTATCTCTCTATCATCTGTCTATCTCTCTATCATCTATCTATCTATGGCAGATAGGTAGGTTCTCAGCTAGATGAATGACCCGCAGGGGACAGTCATCGGTGCCTGGATTTTCCTTGGCACGGCTGGGGGTGGGGGTGCCCCTGCCTAGTGGCTGCAGACCAGAGCTGCTCCCCACGCCCTCCAGTGCCACACCCAGGAGGCTCCCACCGCAGACAGTCGTATGGCCCCAAATCCAAAAGAGCCAGTGTCTCTTTAACAAGCATTTCAAGATATGGAGGAAAGCAACAAGGATTGGTGAGACGGAATCCAGGGAGGGTCGCTGGTGCCCTGGGGGAGGAACCCCGCCTTCTGGTGTGTCTTCGGCATCCGGACCCGGCAGCTCAGGCAGGACCACCCGTCAGGGTGGGATCCTCCCCAGGACCTGAGCGAAGCCGGCCTCCACGGGTCCTACACAGCTGCGTCTAGTCAGTGTCTTTCCGATGCAGGAAAAGGGTGAACGTGCTGTCCCCCTGGGTGTACGCTGTCTTTAGAAGGCTGGGCGGGTCCTTGTGGACCTTGCTCCGTCAATCCTAAATTCCATGCACCAGCTTTCCCAGGAACATCTTCCAGCTGGGCAGATGTGCTGTCTGTGGACAAGCGTTTCCAGCTGACTTGGGCACAGCTGCGGCAGTGTTGACCGTAAAAGAATATCGTTCCGGTATGGCTGTGAGCCATTCCACTAGGACCTCCCTATAAACCATGAGTCCTCGCCTCTGGACCTCCCTGATCACTAAATTCTGACTATCTTCCTAGTTAAGTGTCATTAAACAACCCACGTCAGGTTTATAGCACAGCAGCCCTTGGTTTTGCCTACACATTGGGGCTACGTAAGAATACAGATATTGGAGTTCCCAGTGTTGCGTGGGCATGGCTATTTTTCAGAGTTCCTCAGTTGATTCTGTTTATGACCCGGGCCAGGAGCCACTTTTATAGACGCTTTGAAATGTGTACAGACACGTGCTACTGTACACATTTTCAGATTCAAACTCCAAAGACATATTAAACTGTCTTTGCCTACTCCCCGCTAATCCTACCAATTTATGCTGATGACATGGTCACTCTGGCCAGCAAAACGGTTTAATTAATCATTGTGAGGAGCTACTTTTCTTAACAATAATCAGACTATCAGGTTGAGTTCAGTCCTAGGCAGACTTTATTTATTTATTTTTTAAAAATATCTACAACACAGTTTCAGACACCCTATTAGAATAATAAGATGTGTTTAGGAAATATTTAGGGATTAAATTCAAGCCCCCACCCCCAACTCATGCCACCATTATAATTTATGTGTAACTGAGATTGTGAGTCTGAACAGTTTTAAAGTAGGAACCCGCCGAACCTTTTCACCCTGTTACTCAAAACATTAGTCCCGAATTGCTCAAGAACACACTAATATTTATAAAAAGGCCACATGCACGGTGAAGATATTTGTATTATTCTTTCCATGTTGCCCCTTTCAAGTGAAAGCCTTTTATAAATATTAACTCAGAGGTGTGTGAGCGTGGGGCCGACTGTTATCATTTCATGCAGAGGAACGGGGTACTAGCGGCTGAGCGTCACCCAGCTTTGGTTTCAGATTCTAGGGAAGAAAAAATTGCACCGACATTGTCAAGTTCCTAAGAATCCACTTTTAGCAGTGAAACCCTGGGTGTCACCACAGTTTTGTCATCCATGGCAACATAGCCGTTTTGCTGCCTGTTACTTCATAATGGGAGACAATATTGTAAAAAATCATGAGCCGTAAAAATAGTGTATCATGCATTTTTTTTTCAGAAAGAATCTCATCTCTTTATACGGATAAACTCAGATTCAGTCTCTCCATTGATGGTAGCTTTTTACCTGATTTTATCATTGTAATGCTCTCTGCACCGGGCACCGTGCAAATGCTTGATCCACACACACCCACCCTCACAGGGCTGACATGTTTAACTGCATTTAATATCCTCCAATCAGTAGGCAGTCCACCCCAAGGTCAGACTCAAGTGAGGTGCTCTCGTTTGCTGTAAAGAAGCCTTTTCTGTGCTGGGACAGCGTCCCCTGCAGGCTGCAGAAACCATCTCACATTTTGCAGGAGGAGACACGTGTGCTGATCTCTCTCAGAACCCCATGTTTCTGCTTCATCCCAGGAACCTACACCCAGCATTTAGCATTTGGGAGGCTGACATCTTATGCCTTTTCTTTTTCTCCATCAGCTTCGACACCCGAGTCAAGGTGTTTGCCAACGGGACCCTGGTGGTGAAGTCCGTCACCGACAAAGACGCCGGGGATTACCTGTGCGTTGCTCGGAACAAGGTGGGCGACGACTTCGTCATGCTCAAGGTCAACGTGGTCATGAAACCGGCCAAGATCGAGCACAAGGAGGAGAACGACCACAGGGTCTTCTACGGGAGCGACCTGAAAGTTGACTGCGTGGCCACCGGGCTGCCCAACCCTGAGATCTTCTGGAGCGTTCCGGACGGGAGCCTGGTCAACTCCTTCATGCAGTCCGATGACAGCGGCGGGCGCACCAAGCGCTACGTCGTGTTCAACAACGGGACCCTCTACTTCAACGAAGTCGGGATGCGTGAGGAAGGGGATTACACCTGCTTTGCCGAGAATCAGGTGGGCAAGGATGAGATGACCGTGCGTGTCAAGGTGGTGACGGAGCCCGCCGCCATCCGGAACAAGACGTACTCCATGGTCCAGGTCCCCTACGGGGATGTGGTCACGGTGGCATGCGAGGCCAAGGGGGAGCCCACGCCCAGGGTGACGTGGCTGTCTCCCACCAACAGGCTCATCCCCACCTCCTCTGAGAAGTACCAGATCTATCAGGACGGCACCCTCCTCATTCAGAAAGCCCAGCGCTCAGACAGCGGCAACTACACGTGTGTGGTCAGGAACAGTGCTGGCGAGGACAGGAAAGTCGTCTGGATCCACGTCAACGTCCAGTCGCCCAAGATCAACGGGAACCCCGACGCCATCACCACCGTGAGGGAGATAGCGGCCGGGGGGAGCCGGAAACTCATCGACTGCCTGGCCGAGGGCGTCCCCACCCCCAGGGTGTTGTGGGCCTTTCCCGAAGGCGTGGTTCTGCCAGCCCCGTACTACGGGAACCGAGTCACCATCCATCGCAACGGCACCCTGGACATCAGGAGCCTGAGAAAGAGTGACTCCGTGCAGCTGGCTTGCATCGGCCGCAACGAGGGCGGGGAAGCCAGGCTGATCGTCCAGCTCACCGTGCTGGAACCCCTGCAGAAGCCTACTTTCCATGACCCGGTCAATGAGAAGATCACGGCCATGGCCGGCCACACCATCAGCCTCAACTGCTCAGCCGCGGGGACCCCGACACCTACCCTGCTCTGGGTGCTGCCTAACGGCACGGAGCTGCAGAGCGGCCAACGGGTGCAGAGGTTTTACCATAAGAGCGACGGCATGCTGCACATCAGCGGCCTGTCCTCTGCAGACGCCGGGGCTTACCGCTGCGTGGCCCGAAACGCCGCGGGCCACACGGAGAGGCTGGTGTCCCTGAAGGTGGGGCTGAAGCCGGAGGCCAGCCAGCAGTATCACAACTTGGTGAGCATCATCAACGGGGAGACCCTGCAGCTGCACTGCCTGCCCGCTGCGGGCCGGCAGGCGCGCCTCTCCTGGACTCTCCCCAATGGCGTGACGCTGCAGGACCCCCAAACCCGGGGACGCGTTTCCATCTGGGAAAACGGCACCCTCACTGTGCGAGAGGCCTCGGTGTTCGACAGGGGCACCTACGTGTGCAAGACGGACACTGAGTTTGGCTCCTCTGTCATGAACTTCCCGGTGATTGTCATAGCTTATCCGCCCAGGATCACCAGTGAGCCGACACCCGTCATCTACACCCGGCCCGGCAACACCGTGAAGATGAACTGCATGGCCATGGGCATCCCCAAAGCGGAGATAACATGGGAGCTGCCGGACCGGTCGCATCTGACGGCTGGCCCGCAGGCCCGTCTGTACGGAAATAGGTTCCTTCACCCACAGGGGTCGTTAACCATCCAACAGGCCACACACAGAGACATGGGTTTCTACAAGTGCACGGCGAAAAACATCCTGGGCACGGACTCAAAAACAACCTATATCCACGTTTACTGAGACGCCGCCGGGAGAGCGTGGACGCCACGCTCCTGGCTTAGGGACTTAGGACAAAGCCACATCTGTAAGGAATCCGAGTCCGAGCCCTGCCAGGCATGGTCACAGGCCATGGTGGCCCCCGGTTGGGTCTCAGGTTTCTGTTGACGTTGACCTGTGCTTGTTGGCGAAAGGAAGCGGCGCCGACGGGGAAGGCGGGCTCGACGACCTCTCCGGGGACTTTCCTTCATGTTGACAGGACGCCGTGTGCTCTTGTCTGGCACGTCCCGGGACCTGGGCACACGCGGCGCTTCTGTGTGGCACACGCCGCTCCGACGCGTTCATGAGTGTCTGTAGGCCGGCCGAGGAGCAGTCACTGAAAACAAGCCACAGACATGGGTAGCACCCTCTCATCCGATGGAAGATGCCTGGCTTACTTAACCCCCCTGCAGATTTAAACACGAAAGAACATTCTAGAACGAGTGCCCGCCTGTCAGTTACTTGCTCTGTCACTTCAAAACTCCAGTTTGCCCACTATGGGCTTAGCACCAGAGTGATTTATTATTATTTTTTCATGTACAAGTTTCATACGCTACAGCTACCATTTTATATGAAAGAAGTCTTTTCTCGCTGGAACTCACGTTTTATATAGTGTTTTATATATATATTATATATATATTTTTTTTTTTCTTTCTCATTAGACGATGAGGCTAGAAAGAGAAAGAAATACTTTCTTTCTGTCTCATTAAAAATAATAAATTATTGGTCTTTACAAGACTTGGATACATTACAGCAGGCATGGAAATGTAATTTAAAAAATTCCTACCCAACTTCCTTTAAATTCAGTCACTGCTATTAGATTACCTTTCCCGGGAACCCCACAGTGGGGGAGGCTGGATATTGGATTTCTTAGTTTATAAAGTTTATCTTAAGAGCTGTAGTTGGGGGAAGACGGGGTTGAGAGGACAGGACAGGGAGAGCTCAGTCGTGACCCCACAGAAGGACCCCAACGCTTCTTGGGAAAGCCAGGAAACATCCGTCCCCCGTCAGTTTGTGCCCACGGAAAATAAGGGGCCTGATATTTCCATGACTGCTTTACTGTATTTTTAAGGTCAATAGAATGTACATTGGATAATAAAGTGCTATTTTCCAATTGACTGGCCAGTGGTGACAGTGACATTTCCACGGACAAAAGCACCCCAGGAGAGAAGTGGGGTTGCACTCAGAGTGGTTGACGAGTGGCTTTGATCCATCACATTTCAATCATCTTATTCCCTGTAAGTGTTTACCAGGCAAGGAAATTGGGTCAAAGGACCTACCTGACAGTCTGAAAGGCGGGGTGGGGGGCCCCCACCTTGGTCCCCTGTGGTGACAGTTCCCATATGAAGCGAGGCAATTGGGGGATGGGGAAGTGAGGCCACAGAAATCTTTCCGGAAATTTTCCACAGGACGCAGACATCTGGGGTGCGTGAACGAGCGCTCCCCAGTAACGCAGTGCTGTCGTTCATTGGGCTGCCCTGAGAGGAAGGGAGAAAGGAAACGCAAGATAAATATTTGGGAAGAGCATGCCTGTAAGGGCTGAAAGAATTACAGGCCTGCCGGTCGTTCAGGAATCTCAGCCACGGAAACCGGAAGGGCCCTGGGCTTTTCACAACTGTGTGGGAAGCCCAAGAGACTGTTTCACCCATTAGTTAATCCATTAATCCATTTATCTGCGTAATTATATCTGCACAGCCTGTCTTCACTGTGTGCCAGATACCAGCACGAGCCCTGGCAACACCCAGATGTGTAGGAAACGCGTTCCAGTTTCTCGGTACACAGGCCCTTCAGCTAGGGCACGGTTTGTCGGGTTCACCGCTAGCGACGTCTGGCGCTGGATCTTTCCGTGTGGTGAGGGCTGTGCTCTACACCGTAGGGTGCTGAGCTGCACACGTACGGAATCCCTGCTAGATGGCAGCAGCGCCCTCCACTCCACGTGTGACAACCAAAAATGGCTCCAGATAGCGCCAAACGTCCCCCTTGTGGGGATGGGGTGCAGAGCCACTGATGGTTCAGGGCCACTGCCATAGATGATAGATAAATGGATGGATGGATAGATGGATGGATTAGAGATAGATGATAGATGACACATAGATGATAGATATTATAGATAGATGATAGATAGATAGATGATAGATTAGATAGATAGATGATAGATAAAGATAGATCAATATAAACACATAGATGAGTAGATAATAGATACATAGAGTCTCTCATGCTAAGGCAGGTCTCTCAACCTCACACCACCGACCTTTGTGTCTCAATGACTCTTGACATGAGGCGTCCTGTGCCCTGTAGGACATTGAGCAGTCTCCCTGGTCCCCACCCACCAGATGCCAGGAGCACCCGCCCCCCTCAGCTGTGACAACCAGAAGTGTCTCCAGATGTTGCCAGGTGCCCCCTGGCATACGGAATCCTCCCTGGTGAGGAATCGCTGTGCCAGGTAAACAAACGCAGAAACATGTTGATTCGGACCGCCTCCCTCAGGGTATGGATGCAGAGACCCTGGGAGGTAGGGCCATGCAGGTAGAGGAAATCATCTGCTACCTATACCTGAGTGCAATTTCATCTGGAAAAGAACAGGCGTGTCATCCCACTGCCCATCATGCTAAGTCCATATAACGTGATATAGACTGGCAATAAACTTCTGTGGGTGGACTGAGGGTACATTCTTGAGGACTTGTCCTGGTGGTCATCGTCTTCTCATAGGACCTATCCCAAACGTCCAAGTGAAGTTAATAGAAGGCCGAGACATGCAGAAGCATTAAAGGTGGCTCAGGGAGCGTTCGAGTTCCAGAGGACTCAAGGGCCACGTGACATGGAAGCCTAAGGGAGGTGTTTATGACTGACAAGGCATTTGTATGGGTCAAATAGAGGGATGGAGGGACGGGAAGGAAAGACACCCCCTCCCCAGGGGCAAAAACATTGCAAAGAAAGTTACAGCCTCAAGCGAGGAGACCTGGTGTGTAGTGGTGGATAAAAGGCCATAGGCATAGTCACACTAGAGGCTAAAGCGTTCCATTTTGGGTTGAAGTGTTAAGGTATTGTAGTTGGTTGAATAATGTCCTCCAAAACATTCATGGCCACTGGGAAGCTCAGAATGGGGCCTTGTCTGGAAACGGGGTCTGTGTAGATGGGACTGAGTGAGGGGTCTGAGAGGAGGCCGTCCTGGGTCGGGGGGGCCCTGAACCCAACGACAGTGTCCTTATCGGGGACAGAAGAGGAGGGACACAGACACAGAGGGGACGCCACGTGGAGACGGAGGCAGAGACGGGGGGTAGGCGGCCACCCGCCCGGGGACGCCTGGAGCCCCCAGGAGCTGGAAGCGGCAGGAGGGACCGTCCCCTGGGGTCTCCGGAGGGAGCGTGGCCCTCTCACAATGCTGCATTTGTTCCTTGTGACTGTCATACAAATGATCACAAACCAGGTGGCTTATAAAAAGCCAAGCAGTCATCCTCTCGGAGTCCTGGAGAACAGCAATCTGAAATGAAGGTGTCTCAGGGCCGTGCAGAGGCTTTCTAGCATGGGGTAATTCCTGTAGGGTCCTGTCTGCAGAGGGAAAGGAAGGGCGAAGGAGTCTGTGAAACGTTTACTACGACTCATCCTCAACTTGTCCCCGCTTATACATCGTTTTCATTCTCAAACACCTCCAAGAGCAAAGTAAAAATCCCATGACACCAAACAAGCTTGAGTTGGTGGCGCGCTGGGTAATGAGGAAATATAGCTTCTTTCTCTTCTGACGATGTAGGGGAGTTAGGGGGAGGCCAGTGGCCTGAAGAAACGTGGTGTAAAGTCCTGAGATGCCTGGCGAGAAGTCAAGCGTGGCTTTGTGAGCTGGAGATGCTTGAAGATGCACAGTGCCTCCTGCCACGTGACAGACGGAGTCAGCGCTCCCCAAGCCTCAAGCATCCTCGCAGAAGGTTGGTGGTCTGCGGCTTCCCCTGCAGAAACTACATGTCCCAGGCTCCTTTGCAGCAAGGCGGGGGTCATGTGACTACTTCTCACCAATGGTGTGTGTCCCTTTGAGACTAAGGTGATACAAAAGCAGAGATGCCTTTTCCAGCTCTCTCTTCGCAGCCCCTGATTGAATGAAGAGATTATAAACCGCTGGGGATGGGGGGGCGGAGTACAAGATGGAAAGAACCTGAGTTCCTGAATAGCCAAAGATCAGGAGGGCTGCCATGTGGGCTTTATCTGATGTTACCGCCCTTATTATCTTTCCTCCAACAGCCACCATAGCTCTTGAGAAGCAGAAAATAATGCTTATGCTGCAAAGTCTGAGGTTCAGTTTACCTACATCCCAATGTCACATTAGACATGATGGTGTCTGTTTTACCCATAGCATAGTCCCCCCTAAGACATGAGACCATAAAAACTCTGATGCTTAAGTGAGGTAATACCAGTGAAGGGCTTCCCATAGAAACGTAAAAAAAAAAAAAATGAAACAAAACAGTTATAATCATCCTCATCTTCTCAATGGAATGATAATGTAACTCAAATTTGCACCAGATGCAAGCTTCAAAATCTTTCATCTACACTATGATGTAAAATGCACATGACTTTAAATGAAATAGTTCTTCTTGATTCTAGATCTGGGGCCACCCCCGGTTCTCGCGTCTGTGAGTGGCAGAGAAAGGCTGCCCGCAGCCCAGGCCGCTGTCTCTGTTGCCTTGTTAAATGTGGCATGTATTAAAATTTTCCTACAGTGGCCCCGTCAAGGCGTCCAGACTCCAAGGCCGTCGCTTTCATTTCAGAGAGCGCAAGAGTAAAGTGTATTTTCATTTCTGGAAAGTCATAAAGAAGTTTGGGAGCAGCGAGGCATTGTTAGTGAAAGCATAATTTAACTTTCTGTTATGAAAAAAGAAAACACAGGCAGGCTGCTTTGGGAAATACGAAAACAAGACTGTTTTCCATTCGTGTCCGGCAACATGAATTTCAAAACAATAGTAAAAGACAAACAAACGGAAAACCTAAGAGATTCCATATAGGATAACGAAGGCTCCTGAAGTCCCTGTTTATTATCGTATGTTGCATAACCTTTTTGGGAAATGCTTCAAAATAATTCAATGGTACGTTTTCTGGGCCTAGACGAGGCACTGGAGTTTCGAGTCTTCCTCAGGACGTGACTCTGAAAAGAGCTTATGTGTCAAAGCTTCTTTCTATTTTTCTTTCTGGACGATGCTTAGGAGGTTGGCTCTGTTTTAAATAAACAGTGAAAGGAAGAGATTCAAAGTGCCGTTTTCAAACAACCGGGTGAGGATCTACTCCAGCTTCATTTTCTTCTTGTTGATTCTGAAAAATGAGACTTTCGTCAAGCCAGGGTTTAAGCTAATAATTTAAAAAAAATAACCACTGAGATTTTTTTTTCTCCCGGACAGAAAATACGGCATTGAGTACATTTCAAAGTGAGGGGGCGGACATAATCTTTCTTGACATCCTTCCAGCAGAAACTAGAGACGTGCACAAAAGGCCACCCACCAAGAAGCCAGCTTGCTACAGGGGGGCAGAAGGGACTCGCCACCAAGACGCAGATAGGGGCCATTTGGGAGAAAATGACCAAGTTTCTAAGGGTTTCACACGGCAAGCTTCCGCTAGACTGAGTTTTGGTAAAAGCCTTTATTTCATATTATGAATGTGACAAATAACAAAATCAGAAAGAAAGAAAGAAAAAGAAAGAAGAAAGAAAGAAAGAAAGAAAGAAAGAAAGAA